AAGTATTTTCTTACTTGGAAAGCAGAATTACAGAGAGGCAAAGACAACGCTACAACAGTTGGGGTTCGGGCAAAAGGAAGACCAGGAGCTACTGATTCCTTCCAGGTCTTCCTCAATAGTGGGGGGAACCCAAGAGGAGACTTAACCTGCTTTTCCACAGGTCTACTGGTCCATTTCAGATGACGCCGTCTTGTTTCCTTACCGTTGAGAGCATTGCTAGACCGTCACATGCGTGTTTTGCAGCTATTTTCCCTCAATCGGTGGCTTCTCTTTTCATTACCTTGGCAGTATCTTTGGCAGGTACCAAGTTTTAAGGAAGGCTACTTCATTTAATCCTTCCTGTATGAATCATGTCTTCCTGTGTTATCTCCAGGTGGTTTTTTTTTGAGTTTTTTTTTCTTTTGTAAATCTGTATAAGCTTTGTGTACAGCTCATTGGTTATCACGAAAATATACGATGAGATTATCTTTAGGATAATTTTGATTTTGATAGTTTGAGGAAAAACTGATGTAGTCCCAACACTGAGTTTTCTAACTAGTGAGTATGGAATATTAGTTTCTTCACATCTTCATAATTATCTCAGAAATGTTTTTACAGTTCTCAGGGTAGAAAAATTCTAAATATTATAGTTGTTCCTGTGTACTAAAATTACAGTAAATTATATTTTCCATTTTTATTGCTGTGTAGAAATACAGTTCATATTTGTGTTGATTTGTGTCACCTGGCATTGCTAACTTCATTCTTCCTAGGGGGTTGAAGAATCTTTGTGATGGTGTAAAATCACAAATCCTTCTTTTTTAAAAAGATATTTTTATTCCTTCCCTTTTAAATGGGCCTTTAATTACTTATTTCGTCGGTTATGGTCTATGATGAAATATAGAAGCAGGAGGGTTGAGTAGCCCTGCTTCATTCTTCTCTAAGGCAAAGTTCCCCTCTCATTTGTCACTGCTGACAGTCACTCTTGTTTGTAAAGAAACTCTGAAACTTCCTTTCCATTTCAGTTTGTTAACAATTTTATCATCAACTGGTTTATCTAGTCACTTTTCCTCTATCCATTGTGATGATCATATGACGTGCTCTGCTTAATCAATTTTTATGGTGAGTCATACCATTAACCTACAGCTATTAAAAACACTTGCATTCCTAAGATAATCCTCACTCTAATCATTATTATTTCCCTTTTATTTATACAGTTCAAATCTAATTTGTTCATTTTTAAAGATGAAGATATCTCTCCTTATGAAAGAGATGAGCTTATAATTTCCCTTTCTTACAATGTTCTGTTCAAGCTTGGTTGTTATAACCTGTTCAGATTATGCTGATACTGAAATGCTATAGGAAATGTCGTCCATTCTGAGTTTCTATAAATTGGTTTAATTCTTGAGTTATTTGGAAAAATTCACCGATGTGAATTGAAATAAAAAGGTTTTTTTAATACATATAACACAACTTTCTTTAAAATGTAATGCGTCGGGGCCAGCACTTGAGCTCAACAGCTTCACCTTGTCCCATCCAGTATGGATGCCAATTGGTGTCCTAGCTGGTCCACTTCGGATCTAGCTCTGGAGATCCGGAAGATCTCCTGGATGCTGGCTCTGCATCAGCTCAGCTCTAAATATTGCAGCCATTGCAGCCATTTGGGGAATGAACCTCTCTATCTGTCTTTTTCTATGTATGCATGTCTTCCAAATAAAAACAAAATAAATCTTTTTAAAAATGCAATAAGCAAGGGCTGATGCTGTGTTGTAGCAGGCATAATTGCCCACCTGTGGTGCCAGCAATCCATATGGGTGCTTGTTGGAGTTCCAGCTGTTCCACTTCTAATGCAGCTTCCTGCTAATGTGCCTGGAAAGGTAGCAGAAGATGGTCCAAGTACTTAGGCTGCTGAACCCACATGAACGCAGAAGAGCCTCCTAACTATTTTTATACCAGCCCAGCTCTGCTCTGTACAGCCATTTAGCTAGTGAACAAGTGGATGAATGATCTATCCTTTTCAGTCTCTCCCTCCCTCTAGAATTCTGCCTTTCACAAAAATAAATAAATCTTTAAGAAATATGAGGGCCCAGAATGGTAACCTAGAGGCTAAAGGTCTCACCTTGCATGTGCTGGGATCCCTTATCGGCATTGGTTCTAATCCCAGCAGCCCTGCTTCCCATCCAGCTCCCTGCTTGTGGCCTGGGAAAGCAGTCGAGGACAGCCCAAAGCCTTAGGACCCTGCACCCACATGGGAGACCTGGAAGAGCTCCTAGCTCTTAGCTTCATATCAGTTCAGATGTGGCCACTTGGGGAGTGAACCAGGGGGTGGGAGATCTTTCTCTCCTTTTCTCTGTAAATGTGACTTTCCAATAAAGATAAACAAATCTAAAAAAAAAACAGCAAATAAATATACGATGAGTAAAATACCTTTCCGTTTTCATAAATTGTGTTTAAATAATGTTTTCTCTTATATATGAATTTTTAAGTTTATTGATATGAACTTGTAACAATACCTTTTCATTAAAAAAAAAGTAACACTGTGATTCTATTTATAAGATTCTTTTTAAAGTTTTTTTAAATTGGAAAGTTAGATTTTTGCAGAGAAAAGGAGACAGAAAGTTTTTTCATTCACTGTTTCACTCCCCGAATGGCAACAAGGGCCAGAGTTGAGTTGATCTGAAGGCAGGAGCCAGGAGCCTCCTCTGGATCTCCTGTGTAGGTACAGGGTTCCAAGGACAGGAGTCATCCTGCACTGCCTTCCCAGACCACTAGCAGGGAGCTGGATGGTAAATGGGGCAACCAGAATGTGAACCAGAGCCCATAGGCGATGCTGGGGCTTGTCGATGTAAGATTAACCAATTAAACTATCACACCACCCTCTTTTTTAAACCAAAAAATATGTATTTGGATGGCACAGAGAGAAGGATATCTTCTGCCAGCTGGTTCACTTAACTAATGCCTGTAATAGCTGGGGCTGAGCCAGGCTAAAGCCAGTAGCCAACTGGTCGCATTCACGGGTTGCAGAGACCCAAGTGCTTAGGCCTTTATCTTCAAAATTTCATCTAGGATGCCCGTGTTACAAGCAATGGGTTAACGCCCTGCACCACAACTTAGGTCCTTCCATTTTAAAAGTATTTTGTAAAGTTTAATAGTACAGGACAAGAAGGTCTTCAAGTGATAAGAGCACACCGACTTCAGAACACATGTCCCCAAAAAGTTTGTGTTGCTCTCCTTACATACTGTGGCTAGAAACAAGAGCAAAGGAATTGTAAAAGATAAACACATGATAGTACCATGTGAGAAAATACTCACTGAAATTCAGGTTATTATCCAGTCTAAATTTTTGTAATATAACAAATTGGCCTAATTTCAAAAGGCATGTATATTGTGAATGTTATTTGGTGACAACTGATCCATTTTACACTGATTGATACTGGTGGCAGCTGAGGCAAGATCTGTGCTTTTTAATACAAGCAAGAAAGAGGTAGGTGTGCCCAGTAACTTTGGGATAATTGTACCAACTGGAGTCTGACATGAACACAACAGTGAACCTGGATTTTCAGGATGTTGAAATTCATTGGTGGCATGTCAACCACATTCCTTGTGATCATATGTATAAGCTTGGGCAGCTTATATAAATGGACAGGTTGACTGACATCTTTTTTGTCTGTATTGAGTACGATCTCTTCTCCGGTTTTTAAATTGAATAAAGGCCACAAATTAGGTCTCCAGATTGACTTAAAGGACCCCTGTGATCAGTAATTAGGTGAAAAGCGCAAGTACTGAAACTGCAGTAGGTGGGCATTTCAGATTTAAAAACAAATGTTAGGATGTAAAGCAAAATATATTTGGCCAAAATTGCAAACTGCCTTACAGTTATATATGCATAGTTTAACTAGTTAGAGAGGGCTTATTGTACATGAAATCAGACAATTGAGATTCAAATACAGTATCAGTCCACTATTTTTTCATGCAAATGTAATGGCATGCTTGATAAATTTTATCAACTCAAGATCATTGAGACTTACATTATAGAAAAAAAAAACCCAAACGATAGTTAAGCAAAAGAAGAAAGCACGGTGTTGGCTGATGAGGGCCGCTCCTACCTGCAAAGTAATATGAAGTAAAACAAAAAACTGGGATCAATGATGATTCCAATCAAAAAGAATCGCAGGCATTTCTTTGGAATGTTAGAAATCTGGGGAAAGCTTCCGCCAAAACAAAACACTAACATCGCTTGGACGTGGACTTCACAGGCAGGAGCAGGCATAACTGATACTCGCCAGACCTGTGTGCACTTTTGAGAAACTTACACTCTAATTCAGGTCTGGGATTTGAAAAAAAAAGGGGGGGGAACGAGGAATGATATCAAATAGCTTTTTAATATATTTATTTAATGAAAAGGATGGCAAATCATGAGATACTCTTAACGTTTATAAGAGAAAATTATCTTTTAAAATTTACTATTAGTATTTATACAACACAAAATATGCTGGGTAAGTAGCAACCATTTGAGATGAGCGTGAGAAAAACCTGCTCACAGCAGGAGAGGAGGTGCCATTTAGAAGGAAAAAAGTATGTCACGACTTTTGCCAGCGTTCTAGTGGTCTTAACCGCAAAGGTGAAAATATAACGAATTTGAAATATACTAGACATGAAAAGATAAATGTAAAAGCAGATACCACGAATATATACAAATTCGGGATTACAAAAAAGCTTCAAAGTTATTCATTGAAATTACATTTTGAAAACCACAAATTTATCTTCATGCTATATGATTTATACTTATTGAAACATTAATCACACAAGAGAAGCTCGAATATGAAAAAACCAACCCAACATAGTGTAATTTTAACATGATAAATGCAATTAACACCAATAAAAAGGGCATACACTCCTCCCAAGCGTTGGAGGGACATGCACAGAGTCGGCCATTCAGTGTGACGGCTTGGACACCAATACCATGCGAGATATTGTGATGGGAAAATTACTAATTTTTATATTCACTGATCAAATTTTCATGCTTAGTTAAACACAGAGCTATTACTACCATTTGGGTTTTCATTTTGCCCACTGTCCTGAACAAAGACACTGGGTAAAATCGGCTTCATGAATTTGAACTCACCAGTCCCACTCCCTCCACTCACACACACCTCATACTGGTAGCTCTGCGACAGCGTCCCCGCCCCGCCCACGTCCACCAGAGGACCCACACCACCACACCCAGCCCCGGCAGGGAAGAAGCGGCCCTCGGCCACAGACACCCCACACCCTGACCCCACCGCCACAGCCCCAGCCCCGGCCCCGCCGCGCCCACACAGCCGCGCGGCCACCAGCGCCAACACAGACGCCAAGAACAGAGAAGACACCGCCGCCAGCGCCACCACCAGCGACACCGTCAGCGCCTCCGCCTGCCCAGCCTCGCCCCCCAAACCCCCCACACCCGCCTGCCCCGCCTGCCCCGCCTGCCCCGCCGGCGCGTCGGGCCGCGGCAGGTAGGGCTGCGAGAAGCCGTCCACCAGCAGCACGTGCAGCGCCACGCTGGCCGAGAGCGGCGGCTCGCCGTGGTCGCGCACCTGCACCAGCAGCCGCTGCTGCGGCGCGTCGCGCTCGCTCACAGGCCGCGCCGTGCGCACCTCGCCGCTGTGCGCCCACACGCCGAACAGCCCGGGCTCCGTGGCCTGCAGCAGCTCGTACGACAGCCACGCGTTGCGGCCCGAGTCGCCGTCCACCGCCACCACCTTGCTCACCACGTAGCCCGCCTCGGCGCCGCGCGGCACCAGCTCGGGGCACGCGCCCGCCGCAGAGCCGTTGCGCGGCGGGTACAGCACGCGCGGCGCGTGGTCGTTGGCGTCGCGCAGCACCACGCGCACGCGCGCCTCGCCGCTCAGCGCCGGAGACCCGCCGTCCGACGCGCGCACGCCGAACTCGAAGGCGCGCAGGGTCTCGTAGTCGAGCGCGCGCAGTGCGAACAGCTGCCCACTCGCCGCGTCCAGGGCCACCAGCGCGCCCACGTCCACCTGCTCCTGTCCCTGTCCCTGTGGCTGCTGCGTTGCCTGGTCTTGTGTAAGCAGCGAGTAGGTGAGCTGGGCGTTGGTGCCCGCGTCCCTGTCGCTGGCGCTCACGCTGCCGATGTGCAGCGCGGGGCTGTTGTTCTCCAGCACGAACAGGGTGTACAGGGCCTGGCTGAAGGTGGGCGCGTTGTCGTTGACGTCGGACACGTGCACTGTCACATTGTGCTGGCTCTGCAGCCTGGGCGTGCCCAGGTCAGAGACGGTGATGGTGATGGTGTACTGAGCCCTGGCCTCCCTGTCCAGTGCTGCGTTTGCCACGAGAGTGTAGAAGTTCTCCACAGACGGTTTCAGGAAGAAAGGCACATCATCTTGGATGGAGCACACGACCTTCCCATTGTCTCCAGAATCCAGGTCAGTGACACTGAAGATGGCCACCACAGTCTCTCCAGAGTTCTCGGGAATGGGGCTGGTAAGCGAGGACACTGTCAGCTCTGGTGCGTTGTCGTTCACGTCCACCACCTGAACCAGGATTGTAGATTTTCCCACAAGGCCTCCACCATCCTTGGCCTCCACGAACACTTCATACCCGTGCACTGTCTCAAAGTCCAAGTCGCGGACCAGTCTCACATCACCGGTTACTGGATCTAATTGAAAAGTTCTGAGAATGTCCTCAGAAGCAGCAGAAAACCTATAGGAGATGGCCCCAAAGCTTCCGGCATCTAAATCAGAAGCTGAAATAGTGATGATCACGGAACCCACTGGGCTGCTCTCCGGAATCTGCACCTCATAGACCGGGCGCGCAAAAGCTGGCGCGTTGTCGTTTACGTCCAGGACCATAATACGGATCCGCGCGGTCCCGGACCTGGCCGGATAGCCGCCGTCCAGCGCCGTGAGCCGCAAGTTCATCTCAGGCTGCTGCTCCCGGTCCAGTGCATTGTCCAGCACCAGTTCGGGAAACTTTCTCCCATCCCTGCGGCTGCTCGTGAGGACGTGGAAATGGGAATTGGGGTCAATGGTGTAGTTTTGGAGACTGTTAAGCCCCACATCCAAGTCCTCAGCACTTCCCAATTGGAACTTTGTTCCCGGCGGAGTGCTTTCCAGGATTGTCAGCCGCATTTCCTCTTCGAAGAACACCGGGCAGTGGTCGTTCACATCTGTCACCTGGAGCTCGCTAGTAAGAAACTGCAGGGGGTTATGCAGCAGTATTTGGAAGTGCAGCACGCAGGGTTCCGTGGGGCCACACAGCTCCTCCCGGTCCAGTTTCTCAGCGAGCAGCAGGTCACCGGTCTGCTTGTTAAGCTGGAAATACTGCTTACTTCCTTTGGACACCACCTGTGCCCCCCTTGAGGCCAGCTCCTCCACCCTTAGCCCCAAATCCTTTGCCACATTTGCTATTACAAAACCCTTGTCTTTTTCCTCGGCCACAGAATAGCGTCTCGACTCAGACCCAGCAAGAAACCCACCCATGAAAACAAAGAGAAGCAGGAGGACTTGCCTTTGTCTAAGAGAGTGCTCGCCTCTGGACCTCATTGCCTTCTCTGCCATATGTTCCCAGCGGCGTCGCCAAGCTGAGCCTCAGACAAAGTAGGGAAAAGCAATCTTTTCACCTCTCAACCTTCTGAGGTGGCCTAGCAGATCATCGTCTTAAGAGGCGCGATACTGCTGGCTGATAATTTCCCCGTGTTCACAACTCCCCCCCAGATAACTCCGCGGAATCCGTGTCGTCAGAGTTTGTACCACACAAAGGTTTCCTTCGCCTTTGTTAGTCAACAGCGCCACCATGCGTTCACTGGCAATTTAAAAATCTTGGAGAGGGTTCCTTTTTTCCATGTTTGCTGTTTGATCATTTATTTCCCCATATCAAGCTCAGGTGAAACTATTAGAGCAGTTTCTCATGCTATTTGAATTAAGTAAAGCAAAGCCTAGGAAAATTAAATGCGATCCTATCCTCAAGAAAAATGTCTGGTACAGTTTTTATTTACACGGTTTTTGCTTACGTGTCCACATACTAGGTTACTGGCTTTCCCACCCCATCAGTCAGCATTAATTTCATACAAACTTCAAAATAGTTTGCTCTGATAAGCATGCATAACTATCCTCTTTGTATTTTTGCATTTACAGTCAGAAAAACATTACAAACACAACTTCAAGATAGGTACTAAAAACTGTAATAATGATCATGTGTGTGGGGGGAGACCCAACAGGGTACAAATGCCTACTCCTTCCACACTTCCAGACTCAAGTAACACAATGCTTCCTCAAATCACAGTAATTTTCACAATCACTAGCTTGAATTCTGTCAACTTAATTCCACAAATATCACATTTGTAGAAGCTTACATTTAATACAATAATGCAATACCTATCTCCAGCTTTACTTCTAATGGAGTGGACATGTTTATAAACAAATATGTAAATAATAGCAATACTACTATCTTGAACATTATAATGAGCTCGCTGAAAGCATCCAGTAAGGGAACCTGACCTGAGGGCATCACAAAGAAACTTGCACCATTTAATCTGGAACATGAACGAGGAGGAGAAGCACACCACTGAGAGAAGATTCCGGGAGAGGAAAAGCATGGCTAGTCCAGATCTTGAAGGAAGAATAGCTTACCCAAAGCAGTGTCTTAAGAGCAAGTGGGAAGAGAAGAGAATGAAGAAACAGGGCAAAGAATGGATGCTTGCATTTTATTCAAAAAACAAAAGGAAGCCATTTGAAAGTTTTAGGCAGAAAAATGAAATAATACAATATCATGTGTTTAATCTAGTTTCTTTTGTATATCTACAAAGTTATCAAGAATGTTATATGGTGACTCATTGAGTCTAGTTTTAATATTAGTGATAATAGGAATTACACTTCTATATATTTGAGCATAATGTCCAGATAATGAAATAGCAGTTATTGGTGAATTATGTGGCTTACCAGAGAACCTACAATCATTTACAACCTACAACCTAGAACTCATTGATCAGAGACCTCAAATGCCAAGATGGTAATCTCCAGCACTGCCATCCTCAAAATAACAGCTTTGCACATATATTGTCATTTTAATAATATTCAAATATACGTAGAATGGCTTAAAGTTTAAGGATAAGATAACATTCAGGATAACATGCATTGTAAATGTACGGATCAGAAGTTAAACTGCAACAAGTGAAGAAGTATGGGTGAATTATTTAGGGAATTATAGAAGAAAATTTAAATTATAAACTTGAACACAAAATTTCCCCATAAACCAGTGAACAGAAAGAGATTCAAATCAAGCAGTTAAAAAAAAAGGAGGGGGCGTGTATGTTGAAGGAAAGAGACAGTAAGGATTGTCACTAAATGCAGACATACGAAAAACAGTGAACAGTTTGAATAGCAAAAGTAGTATAATTTGGGGAATTTAAAAAATATGTGTGGGACTCCTCACCTCCTTTTTGGGCTCCTTGCTCTACTGCACAGTCTAGCTTTCTGCTGTGGTATACTTTGGGAGATAGCAGACAATGACTTAAGTACTTGAGTTGCTGCCCCTCTTGTGGGAGACTTGTACTGAGTTCCTGGATCCTGGCTCCGCCTGCTCCAACTCTGGATGTTACAGCATCTGAGGAATGAGCCAGTAAAAATTCTCTCCTTCTAATAAAATAAGTGGATAATTTTTTTAAAAAAATTAAATGTCACTCATTATACATCAGACTATTTAATTTCAGTAAAATTTATCCTTCAAGTATTTAGTGTGCTTAAATAAAATATCCTTCCATCAGCCATTCATTTTATTAAGAACTTTGATGTTCTAGTCACTGTGTTAATCATGTAATAATATGGGGAAATCTACTGATGAACATTATGTTAAGCAACCAATAAAAGCATTGTAAAGTCAAGAGAATTGATGGAGTAACATAGGAGTATTCATTGCAAAACAGACATAAATACAACCCTTGTCCCTCAAAGGCTTATTTGTGATGTAATCCCAAGTACTTGGGAAAAGTTTAAACAGACAATGCTGGAGGTCTGCTTCAAGTTCTGGCTGCTTCACTTCCCGCTCAGATCCTGGCTGCTGACCCAGGAAAGCAGTAGAAGATGGCCCTGTGCTTGGGAATCTTGCCATCCAAAATAGGGATCTCATCCACAGGAGAGATCTAGTTCCTGGCTTCTTTCTTATAACATTTATTTTATTTTTGTTGGACAGTCAGATACATAGAGAGGAGGAGAGACACAGAGAAAGATCTTCCATTGACTAGTTCACTATCCAACTGGCCACAGTAGCCAGCCAGAGCTGAGCTGATCCAAAGCCAGAACCAGGAGCTTCCTTCAGGTCAGGTCTCCCATGTGAGTAGAGGGTTCCAAGGCTTGGGGCCACCCTGCACTGCTTTCCCAAGCTGCAAGCAGGGAGCTGGATGTGAAACGGGGCTGCCAGAATTACAACCAGAGCTCTCATACCGGATCCCAGCATGTGCAAGGTCAGGATTTAGCCATTAGGCTACCACACCAGGCCTCTGATTCCTGGCTTTGATGAGGCCCACTGCAGTTATTTGGGGATAATGGAAGTGAATGGAAGATTGCCATTCTCTGTCTCTCAAAGAAAATAAATTTTGTTTAAAAAGAAAAATACAGGGCCCGGCGCAGTGGCGCAAGTGGTTAAAGGTCCTCGCCTTGCACGCCCGGGATCCCATATGGGCGCCGGTTCTAATCCCGGCAGCCCTGCTTCCCTTCCAGCTCCCTGCCTGTGGCCCGGGAAGGCAGTCGAGGACGGCCCAAAGCTTTGGGACCCTGCACCCGCGTGGGAGACCCGAAAGAGGCTCCTGGCTTCGGATCGGCATAGCATCGACCATTGCGCTCACTTGGGGAGTGAATCATCGGACGGAAGATCTTCCTCTCTGTCTCTCCTCTCTGTATATCCGCCTTTCCAATGAAAAAATAATAAAAAATAAATCTTTAAAAAAAAAAAAAAGAAAAATACAACGGCAAACCACATCTAAAGCTTCTAAAACTTCATAAAGAACAAAAATATATAGCCCCTCTTATTTTGGGATTTTAATTAAGTACTGAGTAAAAGGATTTTTCATTATTAAAACATTTTTAAAGGACCTGATTAGAATATGTAGGTTTAGACAGAACTATCTGAAATACAACATGCATATAATATGCCTTTTAAAATCATTGGACATATGCTATCTAATCACATTTAGAATTCGAATGAGTGATTTAAGACAACGGAATCTTTACACTAACAATGTGAATGTTTTGTAGAATCCGAAAAAGTTCTCATAATCTTTAAAGCTAACATTTGCAGATATATTTGGATAAACAAGGGGAAGATACTATTTTATTCAGAAACACACGTTAATGACAGCCCGTGTAAGTTCAGAAGCAAAAGACTGGTCTAAGAGGACAAAGCAAGCACAAAGATTGCAGGCTGATGAAATATAATCCGTGTAATGACACTAAACACCTTAAATGTTGATCTTCACAACTGACAAGGAAGGGTAGAAAATGAAAATTTTTAGAGTTTTTTTGAAATATGCAACTTAGTTTCACATTTTAAATCAAATAAGGTTACAAAGAAACAAAGCAAAATTAGAATGCATAGAAAATTTACATTTTTACATCATCACATCCACCCTAAAGCTACATTTACTTCTGGAATATCAGTACCATTCACAGAAGGGGGATAGGGTCGTGATTTTCAAAGAAAGTCATTTCCAACAGACAAGATGCTAAAGAGGAAAAAAAATCCCATATATTAACTAATATTAGACACAATACAATTTTAATTGCATTTAATTATATTCAAAACTATCCCTGAAACTAGGGTTTGCTTCATCAACCCTCACTGAATCATGAACCAGCAAGCTGGGAATAATCGGCTTCATGAACTTGAACTCACCAGTCCCACTCCCTCCACTCACACACACCTCATACTGGTAGCTCTGCGACAGCGTCCCCGCCCCGCCCACGTCCACCAGAGGACCCACACCACCACACCCAGCCCCGGCAGGGAAGAAGCGGCCCTCGGCCACAGACACCCCACACCCTGACCCCACCGCCACAGCCCCAGCCCCGGCCCCGCCGCGCCCACACAGCCGCGCGGCCACCAGCGCCAACACAGACGCCAAGAACAGAGAAGACACCGCCGCCAGCGCCACCACCAGCGACACCGTCAGCGCCTCCGCCTGCCCAGCCTCGCCCCCCAAACCCCCCACACCCGCCTGCCCCGCCTGCCCCGCCTGCCCCTCCGGCGCGTCGGGCCGCGGCAGGTAGGGCTGCGAGAAGCCGTCCACCAGCAGCACGTGCAGCGCCACGCTGGCCGAGAGCGGCGGCTCGCCGTGGTCGCGCACCTGCACCAGCAGCCGCTGCTGCGGCGCGTCGCGCTCGCTCACAGGCCGCGCCGTGCGCACCTCGCCGCTGTGCGCCCACACGCCGAACAGCCCGGGCTCCGTGGCCTGCAGCAGCTCGTACGACAGCCACGCGTTGCGGCCCGAGTCGCCGTCCACCGCCACCACCTTGCTCACCACGTAGCCCGCCTCGGCGCCGCGCGGCACCAGCTCGGGGCACGCGCCCGCCGCAGAGCCGTTGCGCGGCGGGTACAGCACGCGCGGCGCGTGGTCGTTGGCGTCGCGCAGCACCACGCGCACGCGCGCCTCGCCGCTCAGCGCCGGAGACCCGCCGTCCGACGCGCGCACGCCGAACTCGAAGGCGCGCAGGGTCTCGTAGTCGAGCGCGCGCAGCGCGAACAGCTGCCCGCTCGCCGCGTCCAGGGCCACCAGCGCGCCCACGTCCACCTGCTGCGGCCGAGCCTGCCCCTGTCCCTGTCCCTGCCCCTGCCCCTGCCCCTGCTCCTGTCCCTGTGGCTGCTGCGTTGCCTGGTCTTGTGTGAGCAGCGAGTAGGTGAGCTGGGCGTTGGTGCCCGCGTCTCTGTCGCTGGCGCTCACGCTGCCGATGTGCAGCGCGGGGCTGTTGTTCTCCAGCACGAACAGAGTGTACAGGGCCTGGCTGAAGGTGGGCGCGTTGTCGTTGACGTCGGACACGTGCACTGTCACGTTGTGCTGGCTCTGCAGCCTGGGCGTGCCCAGGTCTGAGATGGTGATGGTGATGGTGTACTGAGCCCTGGCCTCCCTGTCCAGTGCTGCGTTTGCCACGAGAGTGTAGAAGTTCTCCACAGACGGTTTCAGGAAGAAAGGCACATCATCTTGGATGGAGCACACGATTCTTCCGTTGTCTCCCGAGTCAGGATCTGAAACGCTGAACACAGCCACCACAGTCTCCTCCGAGTTTTCTGGGATCTGAGTAATGAGTGTGGAGATGGTCAGTTCTGGAGGGTTGTCATTCAAATCCATCACCTGAACATGTACCACGCAACTTCCGGAGAGTCCTCCACCGTCAGTGGCCTGAATCGTGACTGTGTAAGTCTTGATTGATTCGAAATCCAGTTCCTGGTTTAGAATGAGCTCACCGGACTTTTCTTTTATTTGAAATGTTTTGCGAACATCCTCAGAGGCTTGGGAAAATACGTAAGATATTTCTCCATAGGCTCCATCGTCTAAATCCCTAGCGAGAACAGTGGCCACCTGGGAGCCCACGGGGCTGTTCTCTGGCACTTGCACCTCATAGAGCATCTGTGTGAACTCAGGGGCATTGTCATTGATGTCTAGGACTTCTATGCGGACCAGGGCGGTGCCAGACCTGGATGGCGTCCCGCCGTCCAGAGCTGTGAGAATCAACCTGATCTCAGCCTCCTCCTCGCGATCCAGGGCTTTGTCCAGCACCAGCTGAGGCGGCAGCATCATGCCATCGGGGCTCGCTTGTAGCTTCAGGTGGAAGTGGAAATTGGGGCTGATGGTGTAGTTTTGGAGACCATTACTTCCTATGTCTGAGTCCTGGGCACCTTCTATTAGGAAAGTAGTTCCAGGAGACAGACTCTCTGGGATTTTCAAAATGATTTCCTTGTCCAGAAAAACGGGAGAGTGATCATTTATATCCCTAATGCGCAGCTCGGCCTGAAAAAACTGCAAGGGTTTTTCCAGTAGTACCTGCAAAGGCAGCACACAGGGCTCCGTGGGGCCGCACAATGCCTCCCGGTCCAGCTTCTCACTTAATAGCAAATCCCCGGTCTGCCTGTCCAACCGCAAACCTATTTTTTTCCCTTTGGAAATGATCTGGGCCCCCCGCGCAGCCAGTTCTCCTACCTCCAGCCCCAGGTCTTTTAACACATTGGCCACAAAAGAGCCACTCTCAGTTTCCTCGGCCACCGAATAGCGCCCAGGCTCCGAAGCACCCTGAGCTATGCCCATCAAAACAAAGAATGTCAAGACTTGCCTTTGTTTCAGGGCGTGTGCCTTTCCCCTCCAGGCCTCCATCGCTTCTGGTGGGCCAGCAAAACCTCTCCAGCTCGTGATCCCACCGGCGCTGACTTATCTTCCCGTATCGCGCAGATTCGGGGATGAGGGCGAGCCAGGAAAGCCTGGATTTCCCAGAGCCACTGCCTCAGAAAGCCCCCTCCTCCTGCTGGCGTCTTTAACCCAGCGTCCAGATGCTGAATGAACAAACGGACGCTTAGTTTCTTTTACTTCTAAGGCTACAGCGCCACCCTGCGTCCTTTGCAGGTATTTGTTCTCCAAACTTGAGGAAATTCCAGACCTTAATCGAGACAGCACTCTAAATCTAGTATTTTCATGTAGTTCCTCTCAACACAGTGGTTTCACTGTTGATACTTAACAACTAAAAATGTAGTATCCTAAAATCGGTTTGTATTCTGGATCCAGTTTCCTTGCATTCACAACGAAACGTCAACCATCAACAGACTCCTAACTCGAGCCTCCGCTCAGATCCGAGCATCTCTTTTCTGGAAGAAGCAAACTTAGGAATCCTGGAGTGGCCTCATTCCTACGATGATACCCCAAGAGGCCATTGTTGGGAAGCCCCTATTTTTTATGCAAACTCAGTTTTTCTGTATAACTCAAGGGTGACCAGGTTAACATCATTAGTGTCAACCCCAATGGAAAAGTAAAAGGACTTGGAAGTCTTCATTAAGTCTTCAGTAGCCAGAACAAAAAAATAGTTTTCTATTATGTCCTATATCCAAATGGTTCACAAAAAACGGTGAGGAAGAGAATTCTTTCTGCTGTATATAGTCCAGCTGAACAATATTACTGAAATTCATGACTTTAGTGAACACATGCAGATCTGCATTCATCATCCACTATTAGGGTAAAATTAACTTCATTATTTCTTTACACCGAGAAACTTGCTTATCTGTTTCAGATGTTTCCTGCCATTGCTCTCTTACCGAGTAAAAGAGAAAGCATGGAAACTGGGATCCAAGGAATACTTACTAATGCTACACTGTCTATATTTAAGTTCTGCCTTCAATACAAACTTGGCTCCCCATAGGAATGCCTCACTGGATTTTTCACAGCATTCCTAAACCCAGGAATATCTGGATCTTGACTCTAGCTGAGTCTCAACTCAATTTGAAAAAAAAAAAATCCAACACATTCTCTTTTAGCAACTGAAAATGCAATGTCCTTCTCGGTCTGCATACTGGATCCAATTTCTATTTAGTAATTAGATTCTGAGTGTGCACTGCTTTGAAATTGCTATTGTTTATCTTTAGAAATATTGCCCACCCTTCCATTCTTCCCAGCCAGAAATTCTCCACCCTAAGTCCCAAATCTCTACCTTATTTGCAGCACCCTTCGAACAGAATTTTGCTGTTCACTACCTTGCTCAACAAATCAGAATCAAACTTGGCCTTGGATTTTAACTATTCCATTATTACTTCTGACATCCTCCAGTAAATATATCCCTGCATAAAGTCTGTCCAGTGTTTCCGCTCCAGCCCTTACAGAGACGGTAAAGTGATGTGGAACTGAAAACAGCACTGTGCTTGCCATCTGTTTCACCCACCAGCTGAGCTTCTCAATGTTTCACATTCTTCAGAAAGAAAAAATAATTGATAAAGGCAAATGAAAATAGAAAATGTTTCATTTATCTAAATTACTTATTATCTAGTATATTTATATTTCTTCTTCTCAGCAATAATCAGCACACTAAATATTAATAAATGGGTCTTACCGGAGGCATATTCTTTTGTATCCTTTTTGAGAGCACTAAACACTGGAGAGTACTAAGCACTGATGCAGGAAAGTATGTTAAGTTGCTTTGTGGTCCTTCTTAAGTGATGTTTCCTTTTAAATGTATTGGAGATGCTTGGAAATTAGTTGCTGAAAAATCAATTTGTTTTGACATTTGATAAACAAGGAAACAGTAAAAATTAACAATCACAAAGGGTATGTTATATAGCAATTCAGTGGACTTGTATATATAATAAATATTTCAGTTGCTTTCCCTGTACTTTTACATTTGTATATACCTTATATCATTTTTATCATCAAAATCATCAAATCACTTTATTTCAAACAGAAAGTTGATACTAATCATCTGAATAGTTCCCTGATTGAGACCAGTACTGCTGATAATAGACTATTCAATTTCTCAGCTGTCATTTCTCAAATACCAGGAAAAGCAAAAAATGACTTTCTCTGAGAAGTTATGAAGACTTTCATTTTAGAAATGGAGTTGAAATCAGGTTTTTTGGTCATACCTCAGGCAATCTGAGGATAGGAAACTTTACTCAAAGGTTTAGGGGTAAACTACATGAACGGGGGCTGCGAGGATTGCAGAGCCTTCAAATATAGCTTAAATCCTTATCATTTCGCTCATGGTTTTCACCCTTGTTTATTTGGAATTGGGTTCATCTCCTGATATCCAATCTCTCTCTCTCTCTGTTCAAGGAACTACTTGGTTTTATCTTCTATCTTTAATGTCTTGCTAGGACCCTCCATTCCCTTTCATTGCCACGCCATTTTTATGAATTCCTATATATTCAATCTTCTTGAAAATATTTTATAAACACAGTGTTAATATCAAGTACCTAATTTCCTCAACCCTTTATAATGAAACACTAAAATGTTCCTGTCAGAGTCACTAATTCACGTCCATATGTGCCATGGACCCTGTCAATATTTCTAGCTTCACTCATAGCCCATTCTTCTCCTTAATAAGTTACTTCCTGCTATACTTTCTCTTTGTACCCCAGGATTTCAAAGTTCCTTCTAGTCTAACATTTCTTTTTCATGTATGTTCTACTTGACCATGATGGTGAGTCTTTGATTTTCCTCATAGTTTAAATGTAAATTGTCTTAAGGGAAATATTCCATAACCCCACTAAAAATGTACAAACACACACACAGTCTAAAAAATTCATGGAAAAGTAAAATTAAAAGAGCAGTCTATTTTCATGAAAAGAAACATGAAAGCATGTATACTCGTAAGCATATTACATATATAATTCCTTTCCCAGGTTACTGTAAGCACCTCAAAAATTTGGAATTCTGTGGAAATAATTCCTTAATAAGGATTTGTTGAATGATTCCATCTGATGTAAGATTAATATTTGTATTCTCCATAAGATAAATTAGATTATCATGGAATGGTACCATAAAATTCAACATTTTAAAAAATAAAAATAATAAATAAATGAGATTACCCATGAATAATATGGTGATCATGTTCTGAACAATACTCTGGATTTTCCCAAAACAATATAAATCTGGACATGAAAGGCAGATTATTTTGAATAAGGCAGACTAATGTTTTCCCACCAAAGTATTAGTCTGGATAATATAGATCCCTATTTATTCATTTATTTTCCCTACTTTCATAACTCATTCTCAGAATTATATACTAATAGAGAATAAACACAATTGTATTAACAGAAATCTAACCCACAGATCTCATAGAAATATAACTTTCCCACTTCTGAATATTATTTCTGATTTTCAACCTCATTTATGTTTTGCAGTAATCTCAACTCCCTAATGTCTGGTCTCCTTCCAGAAGTTATAGCATCTAATGTGTTTAACAACATTAATTTATTTAGCAAGTATGTGTTGAGAGCCTCCTCCACACCTAAAACTGAGACGTCTCTGCAGAACACAAATTGTAAGCAAAACCACTCTTCCCTACCCTTAGGGAGTTTGGTCTGATACAATCACACAAATGAATGGAAGATAGCAATTTAGCTAAATATTACAAATAAACAACTGAATGGCTCTATGAGAGCTTATCATAACATTTTTATTTAACTAGGGGGTCAGGCGAGGCTTCCATGAATAAATGACAAGCATAAAGTGGCAGAGAAGGGAGAAAAATAATTAGTACAGAAGGAGTAAGACACACAGTAGAGTGAATTTCCCGGGCATACACAAGTCTTCATATATCTCCCCCACCTCAGCTCCAACTTTCAAAGACCAAATTTAATCATAACTTCCTCAATAAAGGGATAAGAACTGGGACACAGAAGTCATTCTTTGCAGTGGAAATTTTCCTATTTTTCAAATAGAATAAACAGATGTCATGGTTAAAATCCAGACATAGTACCTTTCTGATCGTTCCTTCCTTCCACGAAACTTTCCCGAGTCTTCTTCAATTACATGAAATAAATGTACTAAATTCACAAAGGTCTTTATTTTCATGTGAAAGCTTACTGCAGCTAATGGCAAGAGAGAAGCGGGGCTGTAACTCCGGCTTCCGCACGGGTAAACACTTCCGTAGTAAATTCACACCTATGAAATCGTACACCCGGAAGCCAGAAAGCCAGACCTATAAACGAGGGACTCCCAGTCCCCGCAGCGGTCGGACATGCAGCATCTCTTCCGCTTTCTCCTGGAAGGACTGCTTTTATGATGGCACCGGAAGAGCTCGTCACAATGACTTCCGGTTATCTACGTTCCGAAAGGAAGCCGATAGCCCTGTGCGTAGGGGACTTGGAGGCTTGCTAAGTACGAGCGGTCCGCAGACACCTAAACGTAGTTGCTGTGTTTAATTGAACTGATTGGAGCTGTTTTGAAATCCATTCCGTGATAGCACTATGGAAGCTATCCGCGGCTGTGGAAGCTGTTTTTAACACACACACGGTTTTCTGGCTGCTGACTTCCCCCAGGGGCAGATTTTTCTTGTGTCCTCAAATCCGAACTCCAAGACTGGAGAGGCGGGAGGGGATTCGCGAAACTTTTGAGATGGTTACTCTTTTGGCAGGAGGATTTGGGGGGCGGGGGTATGGTGGTGTTTGTTTGTTTGTTTGTTTGTTTGTTTTTGAGGCTTCTGGCAGATTTTCAGTAGGAATCCTTGCCATGAATTTCCAGTGTGCCCCAGCTGATCCGAATATGCTTTTGTGGTTAGAGTTAAGAAATTATACAACCCAGCTCATTTATTTGTTACACAGAGTTTGTAACTATGTATGTGATTTCGCTGCTGCGTACTGAAAGCAAAGTGTTATATTTACATGTTTCATGTC